GGTCTCAACACTTACATTCACAATTCTCTCCAAATAGCAGTGGGCCTTCTCTGTATTTATTTGTCTGCAAATATAAGAACTGGATCTTCAAGATCAGTGAGTGTGAGCCCCATTCTGGGCAGACACACAAAGGTTCACACACACACACACACCATCATCTTGGAAGCCAGATTTTTAGAGTTAACTCATCTCTCAAGCAGTAAATTTGGAAACTTAATATGTTATTAATGTCTCAGGAGAACTCAGAAATTCCAAAAAAGAAAAACAAAGCAAGACAGCAAATATATCCAAAGCCTAAACCTCACACCCAGCCGCAGCTGCTGTAGTCCATAAACTTGGTCTGAGGGAGACTGATCCTTTATATGCAAATGTCCGATGTGCCACCAGCCAACCCCCCACCATTGTCCTTCAAGCTGCCTGTGAGGGCACTGAGTCACACACTGGCCAGGCTGTTTTGATGAGCTTTCTCTCCTTTATGACCAAAAAAGGAAAAGCACTAGGGCCAGAGGTCTTCCCGTCTGTTCTCCACACTCCCTTTCCATAGTTAATGAATGACTTTAATTTAATTAAAACCTCCAGTGGTTCTGTAATGGCAGGTGGAGATGCAGTAAGAAATCCCCTTCACTATTAATTACAAGATGAACAAATCCAAGGAGAGATGCCAGGACTCTTTCAGGGAAATTCTTCTCTGCCCTTCTTCCCTGTCCCCCCAGGGAACCTGGTCAAGAACAGCCCTCCTGTCTTGGTCCCAAAGGAGGGGGACTGCACTGTTCGGGAGAGGCAGGGACACATGGAGGGGTGAGAGGGTGGGTGTTGCAACATGCACAGATGTGCGAATATTCAGATTCAAACGTAAGCTGAATCTTATGAGCAAACACTCTCAGAGGAGGAAAGGGTCTCCTCCAAGGTCACAAGGCTAGCAGGTGGGTTTGGACCCAGGTGAAGCCGTGCCTGGCGTTGGGACACCAACGCTTTCACCGAACTTGTGATTTTCCTAACTGGGGCCACAGAGTCCATGGAGGTGCCTCAGGGGGTGGGATCTGCCTTGTAGCCGCCTCTTCTGTAGAGCGCTGGATAAGATGTTTATGAGAGAAAAGGAAGGGCGCTCCGGTGTGTGGGAAGGGGGGGGGGGGCGTGGGGGGAAGGAGAAGGGTTGCCAGATCAAATATAGGAATTTCAGTTCAATTTCAAGTTCAGATAAACAATAAACAATTTTTAACACAACTGTGCTCCATATGTTTGGTTCATACTGATACTAAGAAATTATTCTTTGCTTATATGAAATACAACTCCCCCCCCCCCCCCTAAATCTGGCAAACCTGGGTATGTGTGTGTATAGGGCAACATAGCTTTAAAATACACTGTATTACCATGCACTGCCTTCCTCAGGCCTCAAGTTCGTGAGGCCTCACTTCCCCAGGCTGGGCCACAGTTTTCTGCTCCCCCTTCTCCCCACCAAGGAAACATAATGATGGAGACAGGGCAAAGAGACACACAACAGAGGTGTGGGTCCTGGGCTCGCCTGAGTTGGTGTCACTTGATTACTTCCCGCAGTTGTTCAAACATGGTGATGTCTATGTTTCGTACCTTATCCTTGGTTAGGGAGGAGGGGACAGATCTCATTTGTGAGTGCCTCTGTGTGTGTACCTGTGTGTTATGCCTGTGTGCACATGTGTGTATGTGTGTGTACATGTGTGTATTCCCTGCGGGCAGGTACTACGGATTTGAATTCAGGTGAGGACTTGACTCACCAGCTCAGACACTCACCCGGTTGGAGGGGCTGCAAAGCAAAGTCTGGCCATGTGTCTTTCCCACAATTCACAGCAAACTCCGTGGTCCTCTGTGTCCGAGCCTTGGTCTAAGTTTTCCAGGCATATGGGGACTCCTGGCCTCATTGGGGAGCTCAGTGGCTGCCTCGGAGATAAGAGGGGCCTCAGGGGCTCAGATGCCCCCCAGCCTGGGACGTCTCTCAGCCACGACTGAGCTGGGCCTGGATGGGCCTCAGCAGAAACCTTGAGACTTGCACCTCGGCCTCCTCATTCTCCAGCTCCTGTCCTTCTCCAACCACACTGTCGGACAGCCTTTCTCTTCACGTGTCCCTTGTCACCCCGATGGCATCTCTTCCCAGGGAAGCTACCTTTGTTCCTTCTAGCCTTTCTCAGAGGCAGCCTGTGGAGATTACCTGACGTACACACAGTGACACAAAGAATTGCAGTTGCTGAGTTTATTTTGCCATCAGAGGCTGAAAGGCAACCCGACCTGGTTGTTCTGAGCACCTTCTGGCTGTCTGTGGGTTGGAGCTTGGAGCAGATGGGAGTATATCAGGGATGTAGAAGTCAAGCTTTTACTGTGTCTCAAACAAATCGATGTGGGAAGGAGAAATGTTAAAAGTAGGGGAAATGGGTCTTGGGATCGAAGTCCTCAGCTCCTGAGAGGAGGCAGTTGTGCATGGATTTTCTAACAAAATTCCAACGTCACCCACAAAATACGCGCTGGTGGTTAATTCTGCCCGAGCTGATAGTTAAACCCAAGCCGTCTTGTTCGTAGAAATGCAATTACATTAGAGAAAAACTGTTTAGATGCCTTGAGATATTATGATTATGAAAAACAGCAACATAAACTCCCCTTAAGTCAGAAGAAAGTTAATTGTGTTCCACGCAGCCTCCCCGGGCCGGCACGCTGGCATAGGCGTGATTTAGTTTGGGAAAAAAAGGGCTCATCCTTGCAGCAAGGTACCCATTTTCATCCTTAATTACAAATAATTGTATGGTGTAATTTATATGAATGCCTGATGCCTAAAAGTGCATGTTCAGGAATAAAGGGCTGGTTGGGGAGGTAGGAGAACATAAACAGGTGTAATTGCCGATTCCCGGGGGGCTGCCTGCTCGTAGCCCTGGAAACCAAGGAGATTTAATCAGACTTTTGTCGGTGGAAGTCAGTCAGGTGGCCTCTGAATGTTCTAGGGAAGAGAGAACAGCGGCAATTTGTCTAGTTGCTTAACCATTCGCCAATAGTTCTCTTTTGGATAAGTGGGCAAGGAGGATTACACGCGTGACTTTGCTCTGGGATGAAACACACACAAGCAGCTTGGTGCACGTACCATTAAGTATTAAAATGAGCAAGGTGGTGCCGCGTGAAGAGCAGGACCTTTTCCTGGACAGAGGCGTCTGGAGCCATGTCTGGGGTTGTCGCCGAGGCCCCCTTCCACCAGCGAGGGCACAGTCAGTGCCCGGTCAGTGCTCAGTGGTCAGGGGTGTGGGCCTGGGCCTGCCTCTGTGGCCCTGCAGCGTCGGCCCCAGGGAGTGTGGGTCCTGCCCAGCCTGACACGGCTCATCTGTGACACGTGGCCCCTGACGGGACCCTGTGACCGCGTGTGGGTGAGGATGAAGGGAGGTAATGCCCAGAGCACTCAGAATCCCAGCCCCGCACCCCGGGAGGACCGTGTGAGTGTCAGCCCACTGTCCTCAGCGAGTCCCCAACTGGGGTCACAGATGGATCAGGGGGAGAGGCCGCCCTGGAATCGGGGCTTTGGGTTTAGCAAGAGCGGTTCCTGTAGGGGAGCTTTGAGATGTAGCCTGTAGTTGGCAGCTTTGCTCCCAACAGCTCTCGAGAGACAGCAGAAAAGGCTGATTATCCTTAAACGGGGAGCAGAAAGGGCTGTGGGGGTAAATGGGGGCCTCGCTCCCCGAGCTGCGCCCACTCTGCCAGCTGCCCTCAGGTGGCCAGACGCAGACGGACCTGCCAAAGCTCTTGGCCCAGGGCCTGCTGCCTTGTCTCCTGCTCCTTAATTTAAAGAAATTATATCCCAAAGCTCCATTCCTACAGATTCTCTGGCACTTGACTGTGGCTAGTCTTTAGGATGAAGCACTGATGTTTTCTAGGTTGTTCTCTTTGGAGTGTCCTCCATTATCTTGAGACCAGGAGGAAACATATGTTCTTGTTCAACGCTGGAAAATACCTCCTTCGCTCATTCTTAAATCTCTCCTTTTCTCTCCTCTTCTGGCTAAGTGTCTAGATTTGTGTTTCTCTCTCTCTCTCTCTCTCTCTCTCTCTCAGGGGTTGTGGATGCTTTTGGGCCTGCAGGCTACAAAGGGGGCTGCAAGCACCAGCTGACATTAGTATGTGTGCCCGCTATAATGAAGGCACACTGCCCACCCCCCAAACTTGCGCCACTGTGATTCATCATTTGTCCTATAAATGTCACTGAGCACCTACTGGGTGCTGGGGATGCAGTGGTGACCATCAGTGCCAGTATCCCTGTAATCCTAGATCTTACATTTGAGTGGGAGAGATGGACAATGAATGTGAAAATGAAATAAACACAAGGCGATGCCAGACCAGGATGAGTCTGGGGCAGCCTCCAGGATCAGCTGATGCTGGGAAAGTGAATGAGAAGGCACCTGCTCTGCATCTGTGCCTCAATCTCAGGGGCCTTGGGCTAGCACCTGCCATGACTCAGTGACACCTGAGGCTGTTGATGGTGATGACGATGAGGAGGATGACCTCAGAGCATCCTTCTCAGCCTGTGTTTCTGCAGGGAAAGATCTGACCCAGGAGACAGAATTGATCCCAGCAGAAAAGGGCACGGAGCTGATGGTCCTGTGGCCAATGGTCCTGTGCAGCAGGCACTGCCTTGGTCCTTGTTTTACAGACGAGAAGACTGAGGCACAGAGAGGGTAAATCACTTGTCCAAGGGCACACAGCTAGTAAGTAGTGGGCTGGGATTTGAACCCAGAGACTCTGCCTCCAGAGGCCCAGCTCTCAGAAAGCTAAGTGTTGAAGTCCCGATACCTGTACAGACAGCCCCTCATGAACGGTTATACTCTGTGACCTTCTTAGGTGACATTTCTCAGCCTTCTAATACCTGGCTTTCCAGAGGGGCAAAATGGAAAAACACTTCACCCAGGTGTTCCCTCTTTTCCAGACTCCATCCTTCCCTCTGAGCGTGCAATCTCTGCTCCAGACTCCCACCCACCGTCCCTGAGAAGAACATGCAATACCTGAGTTCCCAAGAGCCTGCAGGGCAGCGCTGGGATCCGGCAGGTGGGGCTGGGCCTCCACTCCAGGTGAGAATGAGCGGGATCTGTGTCTTCACGATGGACTGAGATGGACTGTGCTCAAGTTCACGCTGGGAGCCACCTGCAGCGGGAAAGTGAGGGGCTTTGAGCCAAATTCCTGGATTGAGAGGTTCTCTTCTCTCACAAACCAGCGATGACAGCAAAGATGGTCCTTCCCAGGGGGCCCGAAGGGAAGTGGCTGACCGTGAGCCGGACATTGTGCGCCGTGGAGACGGACCTGCCTCCCGCTGGGCTGGAACAGCCACTGAGGCTTGTCCCTGACCCCCCAGCAGACATGCGTGCCAGGGACCCGAGGAGCTCGGCAGGGATTCAGCCACAGGTAAGAAAGGAGGAAACAGTTCCCAGGGAGCGGTGATCAGTGTTCACCAGGTGAATGCTGCCTCCTGGTGCTCTTTGCTGAGCAGAGCCCTGCCCTTTGGACACTAGGCTGCTGGTGCCGTGTCTCCTCGCCGGCTCCACAGCAGGACAGACCTGCCGGCCACACGGAGCCCAGCAGCGGCTCCCACGACTGAGCTCGCGGGAGAGCTGGGTCCTCCTTGATGTTCTGAGGAATTGATAACTGTGGGGCCCTCCTGCTCCTGCAAGTTCCTGTGCAGACAGACCCTGGTCCCCAGAGTCTGGGAGTCAGTCCTCCCTGCTTGCACCGGCGCTAAAAACTGCGTCATTTCCCAAACTCAGCTGCACCTGTGGGAGGAGAGCACAACAGCCTATTCTTAGCGGCTGACAGATGGGCGTGGGGGGTGGGTTATAATTAGCATCTGCTCAAAGGGGGGAGTTCCCACCCTGTGCAGAGAGGGACTGCCCTCGGGGTCTCCTCCCCTCTGCCTCTGTCTGGTGCCTGGTGTGGGAAGGAGCCAGCTGCATCAGGGAAGACCCCGGGGCTCCCTGGGAGTCCCAGGAGGGGGCAAAGGCCTACAGGTGTTCCTCACCATCACTCCCTGTCTCCTTCTGGCCTCGGAGGCCAGCATGTCTAACCTGTGCCTGTTGTTTTCACAGCAAATTTGTTAAGGACACAAACAATTCTGGCTTAAAAGGACCACAGGATCTCATTGTAACCGCTGTTGGCTGGCAGACAGGCTCGAATCCCACATCCACGGGAAGTGCAAGGTCCTCCCCTACATTTCTGTGATTCCCCAGGCATTTCTCCTGCTCCTCCGCCCTCATTTCCCACCTCTGCTGAGCTCGGACTCTCCCCTCTGTGCCTGGTGGATGCTCTTCTCACTTCTGCAGGGGTCCAGCATTTAGACACCACATGGGCCCCTTCTCCTGTCCCTCTCTCCCCTAAATTCCACGTCCCAGTGGCAGCTGTGATGGGCACCTTTCACTGGTGACTCTGGGGCAACACCAGGGAGGTGATTTGGGTGGGTTTATCGACGTCCCAGTCCCTTGGCCAATTTCTGCCGACTCCAGCATCAGGTGTTGCCTAGCAACCCCTTTCATTCTTCCTCCTCCCTCCAGATCTCACATCTGGCTGTCTGCTCCATGCCAGGCATTGGGCCTGTGCCTTCCTGCATCACCTCATTCTGCACAAGGGGCCTGCTTTCCCATTTTACAGATGAGGAAGCCAAGGAGAAGGGACTTGATGGTCAGTGAGGGAGTTGTGGTTCACCTGGTGCTGTCTCATCCCGGGATCCAAGTTCCTAACCATGGCTCACTGTTCAAGAATTTAAATCATTCTCAGCCCATGGTCTCCGCTTGCCCACACCTGCATACAGCAGGTATCCTTTACTCCAGGAGTAAATGGATAAATGTTTCCTGTGAAGGGCCAGAGAGTGACGCTCACGCTTTGAGGGCACAAGGTTTCTGTCGCAGCTTCTCCACGCTGCCGCTGGATCGTGAACACATCTCAGCCAGAGCCGGGTCTGTAAATGAATCAGCTTGGCCATACGCCAGTGACACTCGATTGACAAAACAGGTAAGTGGGTCAGCCTGCGGGCTTAGGTGTGCCGACTGCCGATGCACTCAATCTTTTTCTTTAAATATAGACCTTTTTGTTTGTTTGTTTTCACTAAGCAACTTCTATGAAAGGAAAACTGTGTCAGCAGAGTAAGGGGAAAACCAGCACGTTTTGCTGCAGAAGGACGGTAACCATAGCAATGGAAACAGTGAACCTGCGCAGAGGTGCTGCGTTCTGCGCTGAGCCCGGGCCTGCTCCTTCTCTGTTCCAAAGGTTGATCAGCGAGGCTTAGAGAGGAGCTGAAGCATATTAGCACCGAATCAAGATGTTGCCTTTGAGGTAATTGGAAGATGCGGAGAAGAATCAGTAGGCGTTAGTGCTCCCGAGTGGCTCGTCTTTTGTCCTGTGACATGATCGCATGCGCTGGGGTTTCTGAAGCTCTGAAGTAGGAGCCGGGAGGGGTGTGGGAAAGCAGGGCACTCATGTTGGAGCAGTGACTGGGGGGCCCCTGGGCAGGCAGTGGGGAGACGCAGGACTCACAGGACAAGGCAGAGGACGTGGCCTTGTTGTGGCTCCCTGAGAGCTCTGGGGCCCCCTGTCCCTGCCGAACCTGAAGGTAGGTACCAGCCACGGCTCCAAGGCTGAAGGTGGCTTTCCAAGCTCAACTGCATCATAGAAAGTCCCACTGCAACATCAGGAAACAAATAACCTCCATTTCCCCTCGCTATGGCTCCTTTTTTCCTCTTTCCTTCACTTCTTATTTTTCTTGCTCTTCCCATATCTATAAAGTTACACATACAGGTATTTTGCTCTGTTAAAAACCCCCAACATATTTTGGTTATCTTTTATTTCTGGCAACCACTTCATCGTCCTCCCGATCGTGAATAGCCAAGCGAAGAATTATTTTAGACTTTTTGCAATGTCAGGGCCTCTCTCATGAAATTACTCCCAGGGTCTCTTGGAAGCCCTGGTAACTTAGTTTAATGATCTCTCACTCCTTCTATCCTTGAAAAATGCTTCCCGTGTCTCCCAGCATGGGCCAGCTTAAGTCTGTTGGCAGTTTTAGGTTTCCCGTTGTTGGCTCACATGCCAAGACCTCTTCCCCACCCTGTCTCCACCCTTGACTCTGCTCAGAGCTTCCCACTGTCCTGCCTGCCTCATCTCCCCATTCTGGCTGCACTTCTTTGCTCACAGACATGCCCATGTCTTCTGCTCCTGTTAAAAGCCTTCTTTTACCTCGTCTATGCGAAGTGAAATGAGACGATAATCATTCTGTCCTTCCCAAAAGCTGTTACTTGAAGCTTTCTGTGGGGTGCCAGGTACAGGGAGGCCTGTGAACCCTCTGTGGTTAGGGTTCTGCCTGCATCGCCTTTAACTCAGCAAGAGGGAGCATCATCTCCTTAGTACGAGCACTCAAGGGTGAGGGAGATGAGACTTACCAGTCTCCTGCAGGCTGGTAAATAAAATGAAAGGGTTGAAACCCTCTCACCTCAAGCTGGAAGAGATGCTGACAAATCCCATGTGATTAAGTCATGGGAATGTTACCTCTGCAAATGTCCACATGCTCTTTCTTACACACCTTCCGTCTCATTTCCTCAGGTCTTTGGCTCACAGGTATTCACGTCTGCAGGAAAGCTAACCAGCAGCACAACAGGCTGGGACTGGGAAGGTGACCTTGGGATCAAGCTCTGAAAAGCTCCTCCTTCGGTCAGGTCTGGTGGCTGTCTTGAAAGGCTCGTGGGGGAGGAGAAAGGAAGCAAGGAGGAGGGACATCTCTAGACTGTTGCAGGAAGGAGGTACTAGTAAGTGCTCCATTACAGGCTCAGCTTATTTATTGCAAAGGCTATGCCCTAAGGGACTGGAGGCAAGGGAGAGATGGATGTCATTCCTTCATCCAAAAAGTCTTTCTTGAGCACCTACTGTGAGCCAAGCATTGGCTGCAACAGGGAAGAAAAGAGAGAAAGTCCCTGCCTTCAGAGGGCTTACCAGAGGCGGGGGACCTTTTCTCTGCCAAGCCATTTGGATATGTATAACATCATTCAAGGGCCATACAAAATTATCAACTTAAAATTAGCTGCTATATTTGGTCAAACGTTTAATTAGCTCACCCCTAGGGCCTTGGCAGGGCCAGACCAAATGATTTCACCAGCCTTATACTGCCCACAGGCAGGACCTTCCCCTCCCCCTGGCTTACACTGTGGTGGGGGCAAATCAATTCATAATGCATTTTGTTGATCCAGAAATGCACGATTTGGTTTCCCATTTTCATATCTAAAATCAGAATGCATCTTATTAGTGATGCTGTGTGACAACTACAAGTTTAGTTGTGAGTGTTTTTTTCTGTCTCAGTGGTAGGGAATATAATGGTGTGTCTTCTAATTGATGGCATCTTAGATTCAATGAAATTCTCCAGTATTTCAGGTATAACTGCATTGAAGAGAAAAGATAGCTAAGTGTATGAGTCAGGGAACAAATGGCAGGAAACAACTGTCCTGATCACAGAGGAATGATGGGAGTGTTTAAAGAAGAGATAGTTAACAGAGGGAAATATGGGAGCCAGTGAAGGTGGTGCTGTGGCCAGGAACAAGTGAAGAGGCAGGAGAGGGGGCATTCTTGAAAAAGGGTTGAGCTGAAACCTTAGAAGAGAGGACACCAGAGAGGAGCCGTGGACATCAGGTGATGAGACCACTGGTGAAACCGTAGGCCAGCAGTGTGGGAGCTCAGGAAATTGAGAGGGAAAGGGGAGTCAAGAACAGATCCATGTCATTCTATGTAGTTCCTACGAAGATGTGCTCAGGACATTAGAATGGGTTAACTGTGATCAGTTTGCTATGAGGAGTATATTGGCAGATAGTTGAAGCTTCCAGGCATACTTTACGATGTTCTAATGGTGAAAAGCAAAGCTTAGAGTGTGACCCACACCCATCTGATGCTCACCCTTCAACCCATAAAATGTGTGCTTTAATATCCAACACGAATCATTAAAGTCATCCCACAGCTATTAATGTGCCAGGAAATGACCAAGGTATCTGCTACAAACCCAAACACTGTCCGTGCCAGCGGGGAAACGGGATGTTAACTCAGGAAGATGGAGCAGGAACCATCAGGCTGTCTAGCTCCCTGTCAATAGACGCAGTGGTCCTCAACCTTCCTAATGCCGCGACCCTTTAATACAGTTCCTCATGTTGTGGTGACCCCCCAACCATAAAATTATTTTCATTGCTACTTCATAACTGTAATTTTGCTACTGTTATGAATCGTAATGTAAATATCTGATATGCAGGATGTATTTTCATTGTTCGCGACCCACAGGTTGAGAACCGCTGCGAGGAAGGAGTTTGTATCCCACTAGCTGGGTGCGGTCACTGCTGCTGTGGTCGGTCAGTTCTGTGGGGAAGCAGGGCCACACTGGCAGAATTGCTCAGGTGTGCCTGTCCAGGTGAGCAGGGGCCATGCAGCCCAGAGAAGAGAGGTAGGGAGGTCTGGTGAGAGGAGCCAACCTGTGAGGTGGGCTGGACAGGGAAGGTGGGAGGGTGGCAGAGAGGGTCCCAGGAGGAGAAAGGTTTGGCCAACAAGGCCAGAGAAACTTGACCTGGACAAAGGCCCAGGAAGATGTGAGAGTCTAGAGCATGCCAAACTCAAAGGCTAACACGGGCCAAATAAATGAGGCATGTGGCCTGTGGGCTGCGAGTTTGACATGCTTGGTCTTGAGCCAGTT